TGTCAAGATGGAAGGATTTACTTCACCATTGCACTTAGACGTTTTGGAGATGACTTCTCTGTTTTCTTTACTTGTTTTGAATGTTAAGGTTTTGGACACTGTATGAATTATGTTGTAGACGTAATTTTATTGACAGCTTGGTAGATACTGATAACAATTGATATGTTGAATGTTTTTATGTTTTAATTTGAATGTTCCAATTTAGATATATCACATATCTCGAAATTACTTTTATTTGAATGAATTCAAAAGGATATCAATAATAATTTTAAAAAGTTACAACAGTATGAACATAACAGGAAAAAAAAGTTATTACTCTGTATCGTAGCTATGCTAAAGAGCTGTAAGAGGATGAAAATAACTTTTCTTACACGCTATAATACTTCAATTCTATAGCGCTTTTTATAACTCTTCTAAAACGTTATGTTTTCTTAGGACCTATAATAGCGCCCGCTGTCCTAGCGCTCCAAAAAGCGCTATTGATAGTGATTAATAGCGTTTTTCGTCAGCTACGAAAGGCCTTTTGTGGTGTAGTGAAATGTTCGGACCAATATCCAATAATTAAGGAAAAAATATACTCGATCTATAGTAAATATGATATTAGGTTTAGAGTATCTCCTAAAGTACAGGAAACGCAATAACAAGACGAAAACCCGCATTCATTCTTGAATGTTTTCGGGTTAAAGAAGAAGAAGAAGACAATTCAAACAAAAGCTGGAAGTGAATCTTCGTCAACAAGTGGCAGTGGCAGCGGCGGCGGCAACTTCAACGAGCTTATGGTGTAACTCAGTGAAGGCTTAGTAGTCGACGGTATGACAAAATCGTTTGACTTAGTTCAATGGTGGAGGGCACGAGCATTAACTTGGCAAATCCTAACTTGATTGGCAATAGATATATATTCGATCTCAGTCTCCACTATTTCATCCGAACAAGCCTTCAGTATGATAGGAAGAATACTTGAGGAACGCCGGAATGCATTACAAAGAGATATTGTTGAAGCCTTGGTTTGCATTAAGGATTGGGATCAGGCAGATCAACGTCTACAGGATACAATTTTGCCGGAAAGCCAAGAATGGATCGATGAATTTAATCGATTAACATTTAATTTTGAAGACGATCCTTCAGCTTCAAATTAAATTGTAAATTTGTAATTTGTAAATATGTATTTACTTTTGACATTGTATTTGTAATTGTATAACTTTGTAAATTTGTAAAATTTATAATTCGTCACAAAATAATTACACTTTTTTTCCTTGCCAAGTTTTTATCCCAATTGGGTTTTCTTAGTAAGGTTTTTAACGATGCAATCATAAATTATGAATTTAATATACATCATTAATATACATGATTAATTTATTCAATTGTGTTAATAATATTTATTGAATGTTAATTTTGATTTTTATATAATTTTAACACAAACTAACTTAATAATTATAAAAATTAAAAAATATTTTAAAAAATTTCGGGCTATTCGGGCGGGCTCGGGCAGCCAAATATAAGCCCGCGGCCCGATCAAAGGCATTTTAGGGCTCGGGCGGGTGGCCCGAATTTTTTGGATGGGTCGGGCTCAGAAAAAAAACTCGGTATTTTCAGGTGGTCCTTTACAGCCCATCTAAAGTTTCAACACTAAATATAGCTAGTTCATCCGTGAAAAAGGTTTAAACATGACATCAAAAGACCTCTCAAATCCCTTTTCTTTTTCCTCCACAAAATGATCATACTTTCGTCTTTATATAAGAAGAGCTTTCACTACTCCTTAAGGCAAATCTTCTTGCTACTATAAAACACTCGTCAACTACAACTAATAGTAGGTTGAGAAATGGTAACCTTGAGCAAAACATATGATTTTTTCCCCTTCTGACTCCTCACAAGTTCGGGCCATCCGTCGGAGAAAACATATTTACCTGAACAAAATACCATCTTCACTGTTCAATTTTCCTTTCCCACACTATTAAGTTTTACAAACTGTGTTTCTGCTTCAAAATGTTTCGTTGCAAAACGTAGCGGCACATGCTGTAAAAATTAAGAAGACGTTTAAAGAACAACCGGTGCCAACCTCACAAGGATATGCTGAGTCCAAAATTACATGTCGGATTCGATATAATTTAAGCGTGTCTAGGTAAACATATTTGCAGAAAATTATGTTAGCAGAACCATATTCCATAGCGGCGTCGAGGAACTAGTATAACTTACAAACTAAGGATATTATATTCTTGAAGCCTATTAATTTTAAAGAACAATATTTTATCTAAGATATCATCATATACCAGATTTTGAAGAGAAGATTGGCTCAGTTCCGCTTTGAAGCAAGGCCGCTGGTCTGATCTTTAGATTTAGAGTTTCCAAACTTATTGCCTGCACTAGATGAGTTGGTTTCAGTACTTATTTGGTGATTGTTCTCAAGCATATTTGGGATCAAAACTCTGATACTCTAAATACTTGCATAGTTCAACATTGATTTCCTCTTGGCGATGGCATTCGGATCCTTCCTCCGACACATGGTCCATCGAGGGCCGCATATTGCAAGTTTCAGCCTTGTATGGTGTTTTAACTCTCGCACTTTTCTTCGGATGATCTTGATTAACTGCACTCTTGGGAGCTAAAATCCAAGAGCGTCAAAAATAAGTAATTAGTAATACATTAATGTGTGTGTATACATATATAGACCAAACTCATGCCTTATGAGGAAGGTAACTGTTGGTAATTCAACTTAACATGGGATTGTTGACTGTTTTGACAATCTCCATCTCGGCTAATGGTAACTTTAAAAATCATTTTACTTTTGTTAACGAGCTCAAAAATACACACATCGCCTACTTTCAAATCATTGTCCACAGCAAATTCCTTCCAACCTTTTCTTAGGGATTAAACTATTATCGATCTCATGGCAATCTTTCCGGCATTAATCTCCAAACATAGAGGGTAGCATCATCAGTTTTATCAAAGAAGTATTCCATCCAAAAATCTGTTCTTACTACCTAAATCATCAAATAGACGAAAGATCAAAACCCGTATGAGAGGGACAAAGAAGAAAACAATGGGATGATACATTGAGCAATTAAATTTATCAATTATACTGCTAGTAAGCAAATTCAGTATTACCATAACAAAGTTGGAAAAGAAAGCTTACCATGTCATAGCGACTATATATATAGATTCGTTTGTTGATTACAGCCTTGAAATACGGACTTTGTGACATGTTGAGGAAATGGGGGCGTCGCCTACTGAATTTTCAAGATCCGTTTCATCATTACCACATTGAGTATGAGTATCTCCAATATTTCTTTTAACTCTTTCCGGACTCCGAGCATGTTGAGGAAATGGGGTCGTCGGTTCCTCCTCTTTTTTCAGGCAGGGAGAGCCACCGTCACCGCATCATCATCGTTGTCACCATCATCAATGTCGGACTCAATAACCTGGGTGGAATTAGTTATAGAGTAATCTATCTCTAGACCAGTAACACCAATTATGACTACATCAAATTGAGAACACCCTCTGTATTTGAAGAACAAGGCCTGTCCATTCTCTAAGGAAAAGTGTTGAACAAATTCTGGCCAACCTTTACACAACCAAATATCACCAATCCCATATGCCATTTTGCACCACTCGGTGTCGTAATAATTACTGGATCTGATATTGTCTTTCCATAGTTTGTCATAAATTGTCTCGGAATCCTCTGCAGAATGAAGGGAAAAAAAATGAGTTAGTATTGAATGGATCAAAGTGCAACTTTTACGCAAGAAATAAACCCTCTAAATGAACACACACACTCAACAACAATTTCCTTATTCAAAATAGTACTCTGATTTTTAATTTGCTGAAAATTAATAGTACTACTTTCATCTATTTCACAGAAATAATGTTAATTTCTAGAAAAGGTAATAAAGTAAAACGATTGTTGCTATCATGTCCAAGTTGAGATCATGACCTTTCTAGGAAACAAAAATGTTTAACAATTGTGTGGCACTAGCTACATTATATGCATTCATATGTGTGTGTATTTATATTATGAGATTATAAGTTCAACAATTTTACTTCATATCTTTGCTAAAGCGAAAGTTTCGGCATCTCCTCCAAGGCATATATTAAATAGTGTTGAAGACAATCAAGTAAAATAGGAAAGCAAATATTGTATATTAACTCAATTAGTTTGTTACCATCTTCATTCATGCATACATGCATACATGTGCATGCATGCATGCATGCATCCATACATACATACATACATGCTTACAAGCTTGTTGTCCAAAAGGGTGCTGGCTGAAATCTTCTTCTTAAAGTGAGGGTTCACAGGCGAACAGGTTGTTAGCTTATTATGAAGTTGGCATTGGTGTTGGCAGTGAGTAATCATTGGACGTCATTGTTGAAGCAAAGTAGTTAAAGGTTTCAGTTCGTCTATTTAAATTTTTAATTTGAGTTACGATATAATTTTATATAAAAAATTTTAATTGTAACAAAAAAAATTAAATATGATTATTTTTAAAAATTTTTAACTATAATAAAATTAAAATTAAAAACTTAAATCGTGAAATAAACAAGACAAAACTCTAGAGTTTGCCTATGGGCTTTTGTGTCTTTTTCGGGTACGCGGCTGTGGCTGCTTGTAATTTCTTGTTTTTTTGGAAGTAGCCAATGTGAATATTGGCCATCCATAAAAAGGTGAGAGTCTTTTAATGTGCATTTAGTTCAAGAATTTAGGTTATAATTTGAATCATAATTCGTGACTCATTATAATATTTTTTTTTATAAAAAATACACATAAAAAAAATAATTTTAAATCCATCAATTAAATGTCTTCTGGTCCTAATTAGAAAGACAATGGCTGCTTAATTTGATTTGACATAAAAATTTCATGAGAGAGTCTTCTCAGACTCATCCCCACTGCTTTCTTTATTATCTGTGAATAGCTAGCATTGTAGCATCATTACCCCCATCTTTAATACTATTACAATCAAATCATCAGATTCATCGAGGAAAAATCGTAATTTATTTTATTTGTTTTGGCTAGTCAGTACAATTCTCTGTTACTTATCATTATTATTATCAGTATTGTAACTTGCTCCCACATATTACTGCAGTATTAGAGATATTTAGATCTGTTTAATTCGTTAATTTAAGTTTTTAATTTGAGTTAAGATATAATTTTATGTGAGAATTTTTTACTGTAATAAAAAAGTTAAATGTGATTATTTTTAAGAATTTTTTACTGTAATAAAACTTAAATTTTAAACTCAAATCAATAAAATAAACATGATCTTAAAAAATTAATTATTTAATAAAAATAATAAAATATAAAAAGAAGAAGAGAGAATTAAGTAGAAAAATTATCGCGTGACAGCTCTATAAAAAAAAGTTTTTACTCTATTTTATGTATTGTTAGATTATTATTATTGTTGTTGTTGTTTGGGATTTATGCGTCGTGGGTCCTTAAACTTTGCAACTCTTGGTACTTGAGTCCTTATTTTAAAAATCTAGACAACAAAGCTTTTAAAGAAAAACTATCTACTAACTGATTATGGTTTTTCTTGGCAAAGATTAACTGATTATGGTTAGACTATAGCTTAAGCAACACAGGGTCACTGGATCAATTAAGTTTCCAAACAGCAAATATATCCCAATTCCTTAGATGATGTAAGAAAGATAAGTTTGAAACGTTTTAACATGACAACTTACAAAGACTAGTTTTCTTTACAAAGACTAGTTTTTCTACAAAGACAAGGTAGCTCTTTATAAGTTGCAGCAATTAGTCAATTAATTGCTAATATTCTGATGTCCATAACTAGTCACTTTTTTAAAAATTAAAAATTTTTAAATATGGAAACTTTCAGCACTATGGATTTTCTCTTAATCAGCTCGAAGATTAAGACATCTTTCGGATGTAGAGACGTCTCTCTCGCAAATGCAGCCCATCCGCGAGACAACTTGCATTCCAATGGATAAGCTAGTAGCATCACAGGCCAAGATCTCTCTCTCACCTACTTGAAGATTCACAGTTTTGTGTCCTTTCCTCATACTAAGTTCTTGCAAAAGCAGTAGGTACACGCTGCAAAGCCAAATAAATCAAATTAAAACTAGCACCCAAAACAAGGCTTTTTGATAAAGAGAAGTGAAACTTTCTCACATTGTTATCCTATTTCAGCTTGAGAATTTTTACAAGGCAGTGTGCAAATTGTACATGTGGGCATATATTTTTTACCTACCACTCTAGAATTGGTTGGTTTAAAGTGACTTGATTGCAAAGACACTTGGAAATAGGGATTTGTTGAAAAGAATTTATTGGCTGCTTCAGAAGCTCTGATGTCTCCTGAAGATGAAGGCCTCATGGTGACTTCTTGACTAGTATTCGCTTCCAAAATCTGCATCCTAAACTTACCTGAAGGCCCAAAAGAACAAGTTAAGAAATGAGTAAAACCAACAAAGTTTTCGACGCGCCTTTCCTTTCGTATTTGGAACAATGTGAATCATCACTACTATAAATAAACTTCTCTCGACTTCAAATCACAAATTAGTTGATAATGTGTACCTTTACTTCTTGGATGAGATGAGCCCCTTTGAGTTTCATCATGATCAGGACCGGTTTTCATTCTCTTACGCGGCCAAGAACACGTTAGTTGAGATTTCTCCCTTCTTTTAGGAAACGGTGAAAAGCTTTCCAAAATTTCAACGGAATCATCATCTTCTTCTTCTTTTACCTCTTCCAATATTATGTTTCACAATCCAGTTGGGATTGGAGGGATAATCTATCTCTGTAGTACTTTTGTCAAATATGAGAACATGGAATTGAGAATTCCCTTCATACTTAAAAACCAATAAATCCCCATGTCCTAGGGAATAGTACTTCAAAAAATCTCTCCAACCCTTGTCTATCCACACCTTGCCATCACACTTTGTCAATCTTACCTTCCATTTTAAGCCGCATGGAAGCTTAAGAAGGACTGGAATTGATAAAGTACCTCCACACTTGTTCACTATTCTATTAGGAATTTGCTGCAAAATGCAAAATCAAAATAAAAGTAGTTGTGATTTGATGCACTGCAGTAATTACTCGATATTATTCTTATTAGTGTAGGGATTTTTATTGAGATGATGTAGAAAGTTTCCAGTCTTTAAAAAGCAAGAGAAAAGATAACTACATGATGAGGTCAATAGGTTGATGGGATTGCCTGCTCTATAAAGAACATGTATATATTGATATGTGTGTGTGTGTGGAAATTTGAAGATGTGACTAGTTTTTAAGTTACAAATGGAAATTTGAACATGTATATAATAAGGGTTGCTATATTTGACACTAATATATTGTCTTTACTTCTGGAATTATAAAACTATAGCAACCCTTATTATGTTGAAAATAATACGCTACAATTGAGGGTTAGTCCCATCTGTTGAAAAGAAATCTACACAGTAATTATTAGTTCAGAGAGCTAAAATAAATTATAATCACATTAATTAATGTAGCTTGATATCGCTTGTCCCTCTATAAACAACATGCAAATTTCCATAAAAAAAAACAAAAGAAAAAAAATCATGTACATGCATGCTGCAATATTATTTTTACTATTATTATTATTTAAGAGAAACAATGAAACATTCACATGTTGCTCTTTGGAAATTCAAGATCAGGTGATATGAAAGGAGCAAAAACGACAAAAACAAATTGGGCATGATGTACAAATTAAGGGTATATTTGATTTGATGTTACCATATAACATATATATGTATCTTTCAGAAAATAAATGGTTTTTAGCAAGCCTTGTTTAATTTTCTCCAAACTACAGTACATAAATACACACATACAGACATACATACATACATAAATATATATATATATACTCATATATATACATATATGAAAGAGTTTGTGTAAGAGAAATTCAGATTTGGAAGGATGAAAAGAAAATGAAAAGCAAGAAGATGGTTTGAGGCGTATAAGAATACTTTCTTTTAAGGTTTTATTTGCCATCACTTCTCAAAGTTTGCTAATGAGTTTTAATGGCAAATTACCCCCGAGATACAACAAACCCTTGAACACAATATCCAGCACAAAATATTGAGTTCCAGAACAATCATAAATCTGTATTTTCTGAATGCATTAATTAAAGACATGGATGCATCCATCCTCTTTAAACGTTACAACCTTTCACATAAAGATACCTTTTCCAATTTGAAGGTTATCTTTTATATGCTGATGCAGTTATAACAATAATTATTTCTATTGTTAATAAGTACTCAGATATGTGAGAAAATATATCACAAATGGATGCAATGGTTCAAGACCTTTTCAAATTACTAAAACACATGAAAACACGTTTTCCGGTAGCAATTTGCGCTGCAGCGGATGACATTCTCGGGCTCAGCAAAACAGACCCGAGAGGTCTGTTTTGTGCACGTTGCAGCGCCCAAGAGGCGCGCTGCAACGCACGCTGCAGCGCTCGGGCATCAAAAAACAGACTCGAGAGGTCTGTTTTGTGCGCGCTACAGCGCCCAAGAGGCGCGCTGCAGCGCGTCCGTGCGCTGCTGCGCGCGCTCCTATGTGTTGCAACGCGTGCTTGTGCGCGCCTGTTCTTCCCGAATGTGTTTTAGACCAACTTTTATGATATCAAAATTGAGAGATATATTACAATCTCTCTAATAGTTTGCTTACAAACTTGTTGTCCCGAAGTGTGTCTATAGAGATGATCTTGAAAAAATGAGGACTAGGAGGAGAAAACTTCTTCTGCACATCGTTTTCCCGGGGACCAGTACAAGCCATCTTTATTTGGACAGTTGCACTTCAAAAGCTTATAGATAGAATGCCTTGTTCTCGATATATATATATATATATATACATGTGTATGTATATATATGTTTTTTATTTTTGAGTAAAAATTATTATGAGTTTATAAACAAATATTTTATACAAAATTTTATGTGTGTTAAAAAAATATAT